AGGGGGGAAGAGGAGGGAGGAGGGGAAGGTCTCTGAGCCTTTGGTCTGGGTGAAATTGGAAAGTAGACCTGTCAAAGGTATTCATGGTCAGACAGCTGGTCTCTAGCTGCAGAGGCTGCCAAATACCACCGTTGTTCAAGGCTGTGGGAATTTTACCAAGCAGCCCCCAAGCAAATGATTGTGTTGGAAAAAGCTGGGGAACGCTGGGCCCAGGGCGCCTCTGTGGTGCTTGCTGCTGTGAGGAGAGAATCAGGTGGTGTGGCTGGGTTGGCCCATGCAAATGGTGGAGCCAGCACTCACCACTTGCCAAAGCTGCTTGGGTGTTATGCAGATTTGATCTTAAGATATTTTGGTTTTAACACACAAAAAAATAGCTTATGAGCCAGCCAGTGCTGGTCACCATTCAGCTTGGCTCCTCTGCAGCATTTATAATAGAAACTTCATCATGCTGATGGGCCTTGTCCAAGCTGGCCCAAGAGCTCTGGGGCCCAAATCAGTCCATTGTTTACCACTGGCAGCAAAATGAAATTGTCCCTGGCAGGAAAGAACTGACTTGAGGGGATTGATAACCAGACTAGGGGTCTTATTCTCCTGGCCGCTCTGTCCTAGTTCCCTAATGTGATCTCTTAAGGGTTCCATTTGCTTTGGTTACATCCCTTAGAGCCATGGCTCCTGAAAACTGCCTCCAAGCAAAGACTGTGAGGTTGAGCTTTGCAAACCTTCGAGAACAGATTTGCCTCTGTAGATTTGGTGCTTTCCTGGTCCTCTCAGAATTCCTTTTCTTTCAAACCAGGTAGTGGTAAAAAAAAAAAAAAAAAAGGGGGGGGGGGTGGGGGGAGGAGACATAAAATATGAAACAAATCAAATGCAGGAAACGCTCCCTTATAGGAAGGTAGGGGATCCGTTCAAGTTGAGACAGAGCTGCAGCTGTCTCTGACTTAGTCCAGGAAGTGGGCCCTTTTGCTGGGGGACATGAGGCACAGTGCAGAGAGCAGAGGGAACTGTCCTGTCTTGTCAAGTAGCTAGTATTTTACACCGCTCTTCTTTTCTAAGATAGCAGGCAGCCCGCCCACTTAGGAAAGCCATGTACAGTTGCTGGTTCTAAAATTGGCCTGAGGATGCAAAGGTGGGCATTACCGAGCACTTAGCATGGGTGCCTTGATGCTCTGGGTGCTTTTCGCTGGCAGTACAGTGCATCTTCCACCTTTCTTGGCTGTTGTAATGCCCCAGCCCACGGTCTGCTGTTGTGCAGGGAGGGGCAGGTGTGGCACACACTTCTCATTTAAGGTGTGTCTCCAGGTGCTCTGTCTTGTGAGTCCCTTGATGAGGGAGTTACTATGGTAACTGTGCATCTGGAAAACATGCAAGTGTAAACAGCACAACTTGCTCAACTAGCTGCTCTTTGCTAGCCCATGAGAACAGCTTCCCTCTCCCAGCCTTCCCTCTTTGGGAGCGGGTGAAGCTTTTGCCCGGCACCCATCAAAGGTGAACTGGGTTTACCAGAAGGAAGGGATCATGGACTTGTGGCTTCTTGAACTTTTCTTTATCCCAGCACCTCCCCCCGCCCCCACTGAGGTCTCCTCCAGGTGGATCCAGTTTGGCATCCCTGAATCAGCCTCAATTAGCAGTAAATGAACACAGCCCTAGACATTTCCCCACTGGAAATACTCAGGCCATTTGAAGTTTCAGCTCCAAAGTGAGAGTCCAAGGGAAAAAGGGTCATGAAAGCCCAGGGAGAGTCCTAGAGAATTGATCTTCTGATTTATCAACACTGGTTTGAGTCACATCACTATTTTCTTGTGTTACGGCTTGTCCTCCACTCAACATAGTAGCCCCCAGCACACTCAGTTCTGGTGATGTGCTCTCTACTCTTTATCTCTCTGTATCCTTCACCATTGTCTTACAGCATAAAAGAGGTTAAAGCAGCATTGCCCAAAATAAAAAGACCACTTCCCTCCCTCCTGCTATGCCACCAACGGTCACTGTGCCTGCCTTGAGAGCGCTTTCCTCTAGCATTGAGCAGAAAGAGGAAACAGGCAGCCTTCACTTTCCTGAGAAACCATAGTTTCCAACGATCTTAGCAACGGTGGGCTTTGGATACCACTGTGGGTTCTTCTCCCTCTCTCCTGAGATCCGCATCAAGAATTCTTAGCATTTTATAGGGGGAAAGCTGGCCCCCACCAGCATTCTGACTCTGCAAGTACTGAGCCCCATTGCTGCCCTGTGATCTGGGGAGGGAGGAGAACGGGTGCAGGCTGGGAAGTCAGTGGCTGGCTGAGCTCCCAGGGGCCAGCCTCCTCTCAGGCCCTCTTGCTCACTGGCTCTGGCCTCAGGGGCTCCCATCCGGCCATGACTTCTCTCCCTCCTTTGTCTCTGTTCTCATCAGCGCAGACCTCTTGACAGAATGGTCTCTGGGATGTGTTGCCTCCTCCAGACCAGTTTGGGCTGGTCACATCAGCATTTTTCATTCCAGGCACCTGGGATCTAAGATAGCTGAGGCCTTTCAGACATTTCTTTTCTGCTTGAGCAAGATAGGATCATCTCCACAGGGTGCTGGGACACATTGCCAAGGTTGGCTGTGGAGCAGTTTGGTAGAATTGTGAGGTGGGCCTCCCCTCCTCCTCACTCTACCCTTCCTGTGCTGAGGCTGTAGGAAACAGTTCAGCCAGGGAAGTAGGTGAAGGTCAGAAATGTGCCGGTCATCTCCCCTGGTTCCTGGAGACTCTAGGCTGTCTCATATGCCAGTCTCAGCGGCCTGGCCTGGGAGCATAGAGCCAGTGGGGCCTCTTCCTGTTTTTGCAGCTCCTACATCATAGGCAATGCTCACTGAGTGAATGAAGTGCTGCCTTGCATGGGGTGGCACTTGCTGTCCAGGGGACTGATTTTTCCTCCTCACCTAGGGTAAGACTTGAGATAGTTGTGAGCAGCTTTCAGCTTTACAGCCAGAGCAGACCTTTGGCAGTGCATTCACCTGTTGGTACTTCTTAAAAAGATGTATGCTGTAATGCTATGAATTTCAAATGCATGACTTACCTAGCTAGAATTTTTTTCTGCTTATGTTATAATGATTTCTTTCAAATAATGACTTAGCTAAAGACATCTATCTAATGTTTACACTACAATCTAGAATATTTGAAATTCTTTTGAGTCAGGAAGAGGTCAGGCTGGAGTTGGGCTCAGGCACCTCTGGCATTGCAGAAATGTAGAAGGGGCCTGGAAGATACATCACGAAAACCTCTGCAGCTCATTAAGAAAATGTGGCAACTGTGATAAAGTTGATGGCTACCCAGAGAATTGTGTCTCCAAGGCACTGTGTAATCTTCCCCCATCTGTGAGACTATGGAGGTCTTTCTTATCCAGTTAGACTCTGTCCAGAAAGGCAGGTAAATAAACTCTTAGTGCCAACTGGGTCAGGCAGATACCCTTCTAGTTTTATTTTGAAAAACGTCAAACAGACAAAATGCGGACAGGATGTGCCAGCTGCTCTGATTTCGCCACATTGGTTTTACTCTGTAGACCCTCTTAGGATTATCTGAGAGTAACTCGCAGACAAGACTCTTTACCCCTTAATACTTCAGCACGTATCTCCTTAGAACATGGTATGCCCGCAGAGTGATGGTAGTATCACAGCAAGAAAACCCCTCGTTCCCCGGTGCCCACCAGTCAGTGCCCCGCCTGACTCCTCAGTTGTCTCCACAGTGACTTCAGTAGCTTCTTGTTGATAAGCAGGATCCCAGCAAGGGCTGACACACTATATTAGGTGCTAAATTTAGTCTCTTTGATTCTGCTGCCACGTCTATCTTTCATGCTTTTGTGGCACTGACTTAGTATTGTCCACTGTTACCCTTCTAGTCTTGAATCTGAACATGCAAGTTCATTGACAGAGACGACCTGACTAATGTGCCTAAACTGTGCGTGACGGTCTGCTCAGGGGCCCAGTCCACTCTCAGCCATACTGCTGACTCTGGGGCTGGTCCTGCGATATCTGGAATAGTGTCTGCAGGTGGCCTCTTCTGGGAGATGGATTTAAGTCACAGCTCCACCACCTCTTACTATGTGCCTTCAGCAGACCCCCTTTTCTCTTTAAACCTCAGTTTCCTTATCTCCAAAATGAGGGGTTTGGGTCAGGGACCACCTGGTACCAATGAGCTTTGTCGTTCAGCTCTGACTCGGCCCATGGCCTTGCCAGGCAGACACTTGCAGCTTCTCAGTTCAAGAAGCTGCTGCCAGAGTCTTGTACTGGCACCATGAATTCATAGTTGGGAGGCTGCATATGATCCTCTGATGTGCTAGCCTGACGGTCTGCTCTTCCCCTTTGTTCTCCACAGCGGAGATTTTGGAATTGGCTGGCAACGCAGCAAGAGACAACAAGAAGGGACGGGTCACACCTCGGCACATCCTGCTGGCTGTGGCCAACGATGAAGAGTTAAATCAGGTATGCGGCACTCTGACCACTGTCTGTCCAGAGAGAGGCTGAGTGGCTGTCAAGGTGGATTGCATTTTGAACTTTGAACAGCTTTTCTGCCTCCTCATCAGTTTTTCCTCCAAGCTCTGTCAGAATGGAGGGGGCCGGGGTGAAACAGGCATTTGGCCCTTTCCACCCAAGTGAGTGAGGGCCCCTGAGCACCTGCTCCTGTGTAGGCCCTCGTCCTGTCAGTATCCCTATAGATGTGGTGGAGGACGGTCCTGTACCAGCTAACAGTGAACGGTTGGGGGCAGGACCAGGGTGGCCTGGCTCACTGTCTGCTACTTTGGTTTTCCTGCAAGCTGCTCAAAGGAGTCACCATAGCCAGTGGGGGAGTGTTGCCAAACATCCATCCTGAGTTGCTAGCAAAGAAACGAGGATCCAAAGGGAAGTTGGAAGCCATCATCACACCACCCCCAGCCAAAAAGGCCAAATCTCCGTCCCAGAAGAAGCCCGTGTCTAAGAAAGCAGGAGGCAAAAAGGGGGCCAGGAAATCCAAGGTATGTAACTTGGAAGGGCATGTGGAGTGCTCAGGGTGGGTGCTGGTAGCAGCCCAATCTGCCGAGGACATACCTCACAGGACAGGAGCCTGAGGAAGGAGCGTGCGATGCAGGAGCTGATTACATAGGGGTTTGTCCAGCCCAGAGGCCAAAGTCTGGACTCAAGACTGGGTTCCTGCACTCGGGGTTGATAGACAGGCTTTCAGGGAGTAAAGAGGGTACAGGACAGCTGGCGCTGAGGAGGATGCCTGCATCTGTGGAAGTGACCTGTGTGTGCAGGAGGTTCTCATGCTGCCCAGAGGTGCCAGCTGCCTGGTCAGAACTGCTGTCATGTCGCCATGGCTACACATCCTTCTCTGAGCAGGGCAGTTTGTCCTGCGGAATGATTGTCTCATGGAGGAAACATTTATTATTCAGGTGCCTCTGCTGCACCCTTTGTGGACTGAAACTAAAACCTAGGTGCTGAACTTTTTGTGGTGAGCAAAGCTCCTCGCTAGTGTGGCTGATGTGTTGGGTGAGGGAGACCAGCATATCTGAGCTGTGATCCTCAGTGTGGGTGAGCAGCAGCCTGGAGGCCTGGCTGTGAGGGGTCACACACTCTTGTCTGTGCAGGGGCAGGGGCTTCCCAGCTCCTGGAACACATGTTCTGTGCTCTCCCTTACCAGGCCCTGGCCACCAGTGGTTGTCACTGCCTCCACAGCCAGGGAGTTGGAGCTAGTAAAGTAGAAGAGTTCAAGTTTCAGTTTCAATAAAGTGGATTCTTAAAGGTGCCCTGGCCTGCGTCGCTCCCATCTGAATAGGAGGCCCTGGCCTTTCCCAGAAGGCAGCTTCCCTATTGTGTAAGCTCTCGAGAACTTGGAAATGCTTTGTGGGGTCTAACAGTACAGTGCCAGGCCTTCCTTCTAGGAGCCCAGAGTCTCTCCCCAGATGAAGGTGGTGAGGGCACCTCCCAGGATGGAAGGGCCCCAGGATCCTCACACTGCACCTTCCAACATGCACTCTCCTCTGAGCTGATCTGACCTGTCTGTGCCTCAGATAGACTGGCCTCCACCCGTTGGAAGGGGTCTCCTTCTCTGACCTCTAACCTTTATCTCCCATCTGTACATTATCTTGGTTGTATTTCTTCTGTGCCCTTCTGGGTGTACCCTGAAAACCAAAAAATCTAAATTCCTCCTGCCAATGGCCCCTTCACCCCCATTTCTCCCTAAGCAGGCCCAGCATCACTTGAAGCTCTTTGAGAGAGAAACCTGACACTGAAGCGTATCCTGTAAGTGATTTCCAGACGCTTGCACCTCTTTGAGCTCACAAGTCTGGGAGGAGGCGTGGACCAGGCAGGGATTTCACAGAACGCCCTGCTCCGTTACTCATTCCTGCTAACTATAAAATTAGCAGATTGAACTGTTTCTTTTTCCCCTTGCAGCTGAGGGGAGGAGTAGGACAGGGAAAGTAGAGAGACAGACTCTTTAAATGTTAAAAAAAGACAAGTTGCCAAATCTACCCCCTCCTGATAGTGGACTCCAAGGATCTGGCTGTCCCCTGACCCCATCAGGGCAGTGGTGCCGGGGGCTGTCAGGGGCAGACTGTGTCCCTGCTTGGCCTTCCTCGGGCTGTGGATGGAGCCGAGGCCTGGCCGGGGCAGGCGGCTGTTTGCTGCTGCTTAGCAGCCTCTCCAGCCCCTGCGTCTCTAGCTGCCCAGCGCCAAATGTGCTCCCATCACCCGTTTTCTTAATCCAGTTGTTTTTGCCCGTGACTTTCTGAACTTCCCATTTGACCAAGCACTAGGAATGCTCCTTCTTTCTTTTTAGACTTGAAGTACAGAGGGGGTGTGTCTGTCTGTCTGTCTTTGGCTCCTAGTAGCTATATTTGGAACTCAGTCTTTCTAATAACCATATGTCAATAATCACTTGAACACTCAACTTTTCCCTTGATTACAAAAGCAGGAAGTCTGTTATGGTGGTCTGTTTCTCTTCCACACAATAAAACACATTGTCTGCTTACTGTACCAGTATTTGGCTAACATTAAACCCTGGGGGAAGCTGAAATTGGAACCGTGAACAGCTAATTTTCAAAACATTTGTTTAATGTAAATTGTGGTGTCAGCTCCCAGAAACAGCAGAGAACCCTGCATCTCCAGGTTTAAGTGGAATGTTCTGAAAATAACCTTTCCAGAGACACGCAGAGTAAGACTTTGAAACATGCTAAAGCACTTGTAGTGAAAGGGACGTGGTATTTTTCAAGTGTCAACACTTGAATTCCAAATCATAATTTTCCCCCCAGTTCTTTGTAATTGGAAGGTTTTGAAAGTCTCCAGTTGTGACAGCTGAGTCAGCTGTAGTGGAAATGGCTAGAGAAGGCAACAAACCCTCCTAGGGGCTGGGGGTTCAGGGGCCTGGCAATGTGTTCCAGCCCTTCTTTCCTACTTGGGTGGCCTCGGGCAATTTTGTGACTCAGTTTACCCCTTTACCCCCAAATGATGGGGATCTGTCACAGTGTTACAGTTAAATGATGCTGCGTTGTTTATGTGTTTGGGTTTGACTAGGTGATGTGTTTACCAGTTTGGATGCTACCAAAGACAATGAAGTAAAACGTTCTTCTCTCCCTGTTGTGCCCACGTCTCTCCAGAGCACTGTCTGTAATGAGCTCCTCCCTCACAGTCCATGCACGTAAAAGCAGAACGATCTGTAAACCTCCCCATCCTGCCTGCCTTTGAAGTCAACAAATCATGTTACCGTGGTTTGGCAGTGTGGGTAGTGGTTAAAGATGCAAACTGACCTGGCTTTCTGTTCCAGTTCTTGCATTTCCTGGCTGTGTGACCATGACCACATGCTTAACTTCTCTGCTATCTCAGTTTCTCAGCTCTAAAATGGAGACAGAACACTGCCTGGGTGGGAGGCTTCAAAGAACTCTGCCTAGCTGGTGTTCAGAGCACTGTCTGGCACCATCTGGTAGCTGTGCTCCAGCCATGCAGTCGGTCTGTCTGTGTGTGGGCAGAGTTGCCTCCGTGTGCCATGGTTCCCGCGAATTACCCTGCTTGCTCCTGTAGGGGAGAGACCTGTTGCCTGCGAACAGTGCCCAGCTGTTCCTGGCATTCAGAGGCGCACAGGGAGCAGCACTGCATTTGGGTCTCTGTTGTCGTGTGCAGGCGTCTGTAGGTGATTCTCAGGGTGAAGGCGGGGCAAAGCTGCTAAGGCAGTATATATATTTTAACCTTGGCGGCTATTGCTCACACTCGAGCATGTTATTAGCCCATGAGGAATTTTCAACAGCTGCCTCTTCGTGTTCACATTTGACAAAGTTGTTTTGAAAAGATGCATTCATCCAATCAATATCAAGTCTACATGGACTTGTTACTGTTCTCATTGTCAAGGGTACCACAGTGAACAAAAGGGCCTTGCCCTTGTTCTGTGCTCACTGAGCGTTACTCTAGTGAGGGGAGCTGTGACAGGAACAGTGATGGCCCGGGGCAGAGTGACTGTGGTGGGGGTAGGGAGGGGAGACTCCTTCAGTAAGCGACACTTGCTCGAGATGGAGGGAGTCCGGTATCTGGGCTTCCAAGTGACTGGAGGAGAGAGCCCCTGGCAGCAGGCTAGGGGCACACTAGCTCCCCCCTCGCCCCCCAGAGAGAACGTGACAGGCCATGCATGGGGGCCCTAGATAACCATCCTATGTGGCAGTTGGAAAGTCTGAATGTTTCTTAAGATTCCAAGAAAACCATTTATGACTAAATCGCCTGGTCAGTACCTCTGGTCAGACCTTAGAGGGTCTCTGTGAGGATCAGTTTTGCCACAAATTCAGATAAGAAATGATCACACCTAGGAATTTTCACCCATGAACCCTCCAGTTGCCCAGATGAAGGTCACCCTCCTGGGCCGGGAAATATGTTGGGACCTCACAGCCTGGCAAAGGGCCCAAAAAGGCATAGGTAGAGCCCCTCTTCTTTCATGAGAAATAAACATTTAAACTGAAAATTGGGTGATTAATGTTCTGGTAAGGAATGCCAAAGAAAGGAATAGGTTCTTTTGAGACACGGCCATCCTTGCAAAATTCTTGCTGACCTTTTAACAAAATTTCTGGCAGTTCAAACATCAGAACAAAAGACACTAGGCAGTTTATCTTGGGCTGATACTCAAACTAAGTTTGAGCCCTTAGTTCTACAGATTTTTATGTTTCCACAGACTGTGACTTTAGTAGATTTTCAGCTACTCAAAACAAAGCTGGGTGTGTACAGTACATGAGAGTTTTTGGGTTTGTAAAACTAGATGAAATTCTGAAAAGTCAATTATTTTGGAGATTGACAAAGAATATTGCTTGCTTACATATTTTCTTCCAGATGGATATAAAAAGAATCTACCACCTAGTATCACCATTTCATAAACCAGAGTACAATTTAACGCCAAAAAGTTAGAAAGGAAAATAATTCTAGATTACAGGCTTTATGAGAAAATAAGTGTGTCGTTATGATGTGAATGTAGTGACATCTGTCTCCTGAGATAACTGCGGTCTGAAAGCACCCAGTCACTTGCGGACTGGGAACCTCGCAGAAAAAAAGCAGGAATTACCTACCAAGTTATGGACCGGAGACACCTGGGAAGGAGTGGGTGTGTCCACACAGGCTTTGACTACTTTCTCTCATTTAATCAGAGGTTCTCCCATGGTAGTCTCATTTTCTGGATGAGGATTTCCAGGCTAGGGTGGGTGAGCAATTTGCCCAAGTTGATGCAGCGAGAAGTGCTAGGACTCTGATGCAGAAGTTCAGCGTTCAGACATAGTATCACTTGCCTGTCCTATGATCACAGATCTCTTCTTTGGCAGAAGCCCCACTGTTCTGATGGTGGAGGGCTGCAAAGCCACCTGTTGCAGGGTGAATAGCAATAACAGTTTTAATGGAGGATACCACCAGCCAGTGCATCATCACTGATAGTCACTAGTGTCACAACATGGGGAGCAGCCTGACAGTCTGGCTGCACAGGTGACTGCACCTGTCAGGTGAGGGCGGAGAG